ATATTTTAGATGGCAAATACATTAACTTTCCATGATCATTGAGTAGCTGTCATCTATCATCTGCAAAATGAGTCATACCCTCTCAGTACAAATACAAAAGTTGCATTCCTTTTAAGAACATCTTAATATCTTCTTTACAGTATTTCCTCCCTCAGATGTTTATAAGTGAAGTCAGGTCCCAAGACAGAGAGATCTTGCTTTTAAAGAGAGTCCAAATTGTTTGAAAATCTTTATTGCCTTTGGAGATCAGAGTGAGACAATTAAATATTTGTGGCTTTGAAGAAAAAAGAGGGAAAAACCCAATTTCTTTTCCCTAGCTGCCTCGCTCAGAGCAGGGGCTTTAGAGGAAGCTGAATATTGCATGATTCAAGAAGAAATTAGATTCTGATGTAGAAGTAGATGTCTGACTGAAGGACTCTGCCATTCAGTTCCCAGAATATGTTATGAACATGCCACAGGGGCCCTGAAACAGTCTCTTCCAGTCTAACGTATGCTGTGTACCATGAGATTCTGTTTTCTATTGAATGTAAAACCTAGTGTGGATTAGTACTGTGAAACACCAGAAGAGGTTGCCCAGAGAGGTTGTGAATGCCCCATCCCTGGAGGTATTCAAATCTGGGTTGGACAGGGCTTTGAGCACTTGGTCTAGTGAAACGTGACCCTATACCTATGGCACGGTGGTTGGAACTAGATGGCTTTTAAGCTTCCAACCCAAACCATTCTATTATTCTGTGAAAATCTAGGAGTTAAAAAATCATGATCTTTCTGTGGTAAAAGTTTATGTATTTAATATGTGTACTGTAATAAAATGTGGCATAATTTTTTGGGTTAGAAAACCTGTCCTATTCTTATGAGCCAAGCCTCCTGGCTCATTTCCTGAGCTTTCTCAGCACTACCCCATTTGTGGAAAAGCTGTCTTGCAAAAAATGACAAGACAGAATGGAATTTATAGAGATGAGGATTTATATCTTCACCTGATAATTTTGACTCTTAGAGCCCACGAAAAAAGCCAAATGCAAGTGTTTGCCTTTTGAAAACTTTCTTTCCCAGTGTCAGATAATCCTACCATTAAACCCTGTCTCTCCAATACATAGAGGTTATTTGCCATTTGTTTGGCCTTTCCATGAAACATGAAATACGGAAATTTTAAGAACATTTAGTGAAGTGATTAACAGTGACTCTCAGCCACTCTATCCTTTCTATCTAAAGAGGGTTGGTAACAAGACCTTTTTATAATTCATGCTCTTACCAATTTGTTCAAATTAGCTTTTCCTTCTCCTATAGTTGTCATTCACAGACCTGCTTCATCACCCAAATCTCTCAGCAGACCGTGGAATATTTTACTATGTTCAGAGGTCAGTACAAGATTGAGGGCATATTCTGTGATGCTTACTGAAACAATTTCTCTTTTGATCTTCTGTGGATCCAAAAACTTTGTTTAGAATTTTCGTCTGTACACTGAATATTAATTTAGTCTTTTGCAGAAGCCTAGCTCTGTAGGATTACAATTTTCTGTTGTGTAGTATGGCTTTATTGTCCACTGAATTCTACCTGCTATTCCTATTGTAATGTAGTAATGTGATGATGAACAACTGATTGCTATAAAACATATAGGCAAAACCATCTGTATCTTTTCAATGGTGTATTTTAATAGAAGGACTGGCAGGGGAAAGGATTAGGGTATAGCAGCAGTATACAGGAAACTACCATGCTTTTCCTGTCTATAATAAATCTGTCTGATTGTGTGCTTATGTGGATTAAACTGAAGTCTTCAGCGTTTCAGGTGTTAAGAGTAGCCTTAGACTATCCAAATACCACTTCTCATTGATTCTTCTCAAAGACACATGTTCTCAGAGGGCTGCTGGTTAAACCTCTAAATGCCATATCAAGATCCAGTTCTTCAACTCTTTTCTCTTCTTTTTGTGAAGAATGGACTCAATGTCTATCCTTCACCTTGTTTTTCAAGTACTTATTGAAGTCATAACTTGCAGACGTACTGTTCTTTTTGTTACTGAGAGGCAAGGTCAGAGTGCTGGACATGGGGGCAGTGCCATGCTAGTGAACTATATGGGCCTGTCCCTGGCATGACCTGGGAAGAAATGGTGTCTATCCCCATCACTTTTCAGCCATGTAAGTGCCCAGTGAACTGCCTGTCTTTGTCATTAGGTTGCTATTTCTAGCCCAAAAGAGAAGGCTAAGCAGAAGGATCTGAAGCAATGCTAGAATATACTTTTCAGTCGCAGCCACAACCAGGTCACTTGCAGCCAAGCATAAGGAAGCATCCTCTTATGGCTGATAGCTGTGTCATTGCAAAGGATTTGTTCCTCTCACTGGAGAACTGCAGCACATCCTCTGTGCAGCAATGATGTGTCTGATGTAAGGGCTGCCTGTAGTTGCCTCGTTCCTGCCTCTGATCCTGGATTAGATGTTGGCGTATTTAACCACTTCAGTAAGACAGAAGTTTAGAGGTAATTCATCTGTAATATTTGTCTTCTAAGGACTGCATAAAAGCCACTTTAATAAGATGGATGCTCCTGTTTTTGTATAATAACAGCTAAGTGTACCCCTGCAGAACATCAACCCTCTCACTTTTTTACTAGCTGTTGATTTGGGAATTGATAAATGAGTTGCAAGGAGGCAATGTAAATCCCTAGTGTCACATTATTGTCCTTTTTCTTCATGGAATCCAAGTTCTGTTGCAGTCATGGAGACTACAACGGTTGTGCACATTTGCCATTAAAAAAGTGTGTTTTTTCAACAGTCTGGCAATTTCTTTTTATGAAGTCTTGTACTTCAGTATGATGGTTTCATTCTGTCAGATACCAGTATTGTTATGGTGTTAATCTGCAGTTAAAAGTTTTTATTTACTAAAATGCCATGTGACTTGGGATCTTGAAATGGTTTCATGTTGTTTATTAGGGTTTGCTGTAGAATGGATTTGTTTTGGTTTTACTGGGCATCAAAGCAGGCTTTCTCTGTGGAACTCACAGCAACTGCAGTGACTTAGCAGGATTTTTCTTCAGCATGAAATCTCTTGGGCAAAACGTTGGATCTCAGGAAAAATCAAGTTTAAGGGGCAGTGTATTAACTCAGGATACTAAATTGACTGGATTGTGTGGAAAGTTCATACTACAGCAGCACACAAAGTGGAATTTAATTACTTTGCATGAAGAGACAGGGAGGTTTTCTTTAAACCAAAATGGAAATTAAGAGATACAAACTTTATGAATGTACCAGTCCTCACTATACTCTGTTATTACATCTAATGGATTTAAAATTACCTTAGTCATCTCACTGCTTCCTCAATTATTCTTTTATTTTTTTAAATTTACAGTAATTACAAATTAGCTATGATCTACTTGCATTATTCCGCTCAGTTTTTGATATTATAAAATAAGCTGAAATGCTTTTTTATTGATACAAACATTGCATTACAGAGTTTCACAAACAGATTTATGAACCGTTTATTTGTTTATACTTAAAAGCAAAGACCCAACTTGTAGCTTTAGGAAAGGGACAGACAGTGCGCTAAATGTTATTTTAAGATATAAGAGCTTTAGTTTCACATACCAATAAGGATTCTGATTTTTCAGCACAGCTAATGTATGATGCTTACAATAGTAAGATTGGATGATAGGTTGGGTTGTACATATAACAAGTATATCACATATCTTATCTAGCTTTGCTGCTTTTTCTTTCTACTAGCCTCTCAAACTATTGCAAAACAGGAAAATGTGAATAAAAGGCAGTGGAGTCTTAAAATCCCATCTTCAGGTTGAGTCAATACTGCCCACTCTGTATCACACTCTGAAACAGAGGAAATTCATTTTTGAGAGAAGTCTGCTTCTTTTACTGAGTGTGATATTCTAGGAGATTGATAGGCAAAATGCAGTTTCTTGTTTCTTTCTTCAGGAACCCAGATGTTTTTGCTTGTTGCAGTTGAGTAAGGAATGACACATACTCACCAGAAGGCTGGTTTGCACGGCATCGCGCTTTACTTCAAAATTCTCTCTTTTATACACTGTTCGATACAGACAGACCAGATTGGTCAATTAATCAATACATTTCACCTGATTGGCTGATTAACAAAATGCCTTTCTTATAAACAATCTTTGAGAAAAACCAAAAAACTGAAAGTAGAAAAACAACACCTGCAGGTTATTTAGAATAACAAACGATCATTGTTTATCTTCAAATCCCTTAAGTCTCACAAGCTGATTCTGGGAAAAGTTACCTACTTTCCTGGTTCTCTGACCAGGCTGTCACATCCACATTTGCTAACTGTAGTTGTCCTTTGATGGTGACAAATTTCTACAGAACAGCATTTTAGGAATGTTGGTTCTGAGTTGAAAGAGAAATTTCTCATTGACGTTTATTGTTCTCATTCCAATAGCATAATTTCTATTCTGTGGGAGGTTCTGGGCTTTTAAGGAGAATGGAAAACTTTCTATTCAAAGTAAAATTTTTTGCAGGAACTAAAATTTCTTCATAATTAAATAGTAATTGTAGAAAAGCTGTTAAAAATAAGATTGCACTTGAATGCTTAGTGCAGTCTTTCAATTCAGCTGCAGCCCTTCATTCTAAGTCTGAAGAAAGGGGCACTTATGAGCTCCCTTGACAAGAGCCTGATGCACTCGGTGGCGTTGGCTTCACAGCAGCCCCTGTGGTAGGAGCATTGCTGTGGCAAACATCTGAGCTCTCCAGAAGCCCCTTAGGAAAGCTGGTGAAACACGAGGCATAATTCTGTCAGCATTTTGCTAGAAATTCCTCCAAACCAATCATCTTAATATGTCTGTGAACTGTCATTTTTCCACTGCAGCCTATTGATCTGGAGCAGTCTTTGGAAGTTCTTAATACCTGGTACACATTCTGGCCTTTCCATAACTGCGCTGGTCACCGGCATTGTTCAAGAAAGAGCCAACAGCAGTTTTTAGGACGGCCTTGCTCTCAGGTGTTGTAAGGTTTTGTTTGAGGAACTGACATTCTGTTTGATCTTGCAGGAATTCTTCAATGGGTGAAGCTGATAGATAACTTTGAGGCCGAGTATGAGTATGTCACCAATGAAGGAACAGTGTTCACTTTCAAGACAAACCGCCATTCTCCAAATTATCGGTTAATCAACATTGACTTCAGTGATCCAGAGGAATCGAAATGGAAAGTTCTCGTCCCTGAACATGAGAAAGATGTTCTAGGTAAGAGTTCATGTCAGATTAAAGACATTAGGTTCTGCTTTCTCCAAATTAATTCAGTAATTAGTCTGTTGAATTATCTATTACAGACTTTTTTGTTTTTTCCTGTGTTAAAACTTTGTTTAGGATTTGCAATTAAAAGTCTTGCTGAGATACAAGTTATTCAGAATATCTCTTTCTCTCTCTAACATCTTGTGTGGCCCTAGTAAAGTTGCTTCATCAGTCCTTGTTTTAATTCTGTGTTTGTAGGAAATGAGGGGAAAGTATTTTCCTGCTTCATGTCACTGAAATAAATATTTACTAGACAGTCAGGGATTACAATAAGAGGGGCTTTGTAAGCAGAAAGAAGGGAAAGAGCAAATCTGGCAGTACTGCAGCATGCTTTGAACAGAATTGGTCAGAATTTGAGACAGGATTTCTTTTGTTCCTGGAATAAGAGGAGTAAACAGTACTTGGGAAAAAAAAAGCCTCAGAAAAGCATAAGGGCATGGAATTCTTGACGTATAGAAGCACGTTCAAAACATAAATATTTGGGTTTTTATATAATTAAAATAAAGGTGTATTTTTTAATCCCATCATTTTCCAGAAGGTTCTATGAAAGCTTAGAATTAGTTTCAGATAATACAGAAGACCCTCCTCTGAGCTGTTTTTGACAGATGCCTAGTGTATATTTATGTAGTTTGCTCTCCATACAGTACAAGGTACAATTATGTACAGGGTACTAATTATCTGACTAGCATAATTAGTTATTCAAAAATACTCTGAATTTTTTATTAATTACTTTTCATATAAATTCCTTCATGTTTGCTACTTTTCCAGTGAAGAGCTGCTTTGTAGAATGAGAATTCTCTTTGTGTATCTGATTTCATATATGCATATACAGTAACTTCTGTCTTTCCTCAGAGACAAACCTATTTTACTACTATTCCAAAGTCATGTTAAGGCTTTTGTCACTTAAAAAATTATTTCTGTCTGCAGTTCACAATGTGCCCTGTGTGATTTCTGCCACAGCCTAGGTGTCCCCAGTGTGACATAAATGTTGATTCTAAACTTACCCAGAATTGTAGTGATGTTGCAAATGACTGGACTCTGGAATATCGAGAGAATTTTAGTGAATGGAAATGTAGCAAATTAGAGCTTGTGAGGCACAAATCTTTCCTTAAGATTGGGAACTATTTGAATCAAGAGCAACCTGCATCTTAAATGAAGTATGTCTCAAGTCCTAAGCAGAGAATTAATAACAGATGTAAGTGAAAAATTGCTTCTAAGTCTTTAATTTTGGTCATGTGCAAATACACAGGCAATGTTAAGTAATGCTTAAGTTACGAGGGACAGCAGTTTATAAAGTGGGGCCAAATTGAAAAATTGACTTGGACGTGGTGAGTGTATAAACAGAATGGGACAGAAATCTGTGACTAACATGAAATGTGGTTCATATGTGTGGACTTACATGGAAAATGGTCTAGGCAGCCAAAGGAGTTTTGACCAGTGTCTCTATAAGCACTGATTATCTGTTCCTTCCCAGTAAGATAAATGCCAGATCTGGTCTTCCCTACACTGTGGTATTTAGCTCAACTTCATTGTGGTTTAATTCTAAAGGCAAAGTTGTGATGAGTTCATGTTTGTGCACAAACAAAAAAAAAATCAATGCATGCAACATTCATTTAATAGCTTATACATGACAGCCTTGACAGTACAGACTTAACAAGAGCTGCACTACAAAAACTGAAAGCTCAGATTAATGGGTTTACTGAGGACACTGGCCTTCAGACTGTAAACCCAACAGGCATTCAGCTCTTAAACACTTGAAAGCAAACATAATCTGTCATATAAAACCATCAGGATGACCTTCAGGAATATGTTATGTGTCATTAATCTTTTAGTGTAGTTGAATGTGAAGCCAGAATAGACAATCATAGGTCTACTTCCCTCTATAGCTTTTTCGAGTTATATGTAAAGAAATTGGATTGAACTAACAAATGAAAGAGTCTTCCTTAGAAGATGAGTTTTAAGTAGATCTTAATAAATCTATAGTAGACCTTACAGAAAAGTAAATTTAAATTCATAAGTTGCTTCTTTATTACAGATACTTGCAGATTAGTGTTGCATCCTTAGCATCAAGATATGGGAGTTTTATCAGTTCAGGAAGTTGTACTCCTGAATAAATAAAAAACTTCACTCCTTCACTTGATGTAGCCAGCAAGCAAGCCAGTCTCCATATCAGGCTCTTTTAATCATTACAAGCTTTGTTCAGGAAGACATAATTGTAGTGATGACAGTTAATGATTAATTCTTGAAAACCTTGGAGTCAACTGAATTTGATTTGGGTGATAAAGGGATGACAGTGTAATGAAGTTCCTTCTACAAAAGCTAATACAGCAGTGATTCAGAGGGTAAATGGGTATTAATGCTTTTTACTTACATGTGGGAGTGACTTTAACAAGATGTAATTTAGCTGTATTAGTATTTCTTCACAAGCATTATAGTTAGTGGTACCCTAGGTCGCAAATGTGTTTTATTGCGATGTATGGATCCTACTCCGGTATGACCTACCTGAAAGACATAGCCTGTTCATTTCTGTGTCTTAACTTAGATTCAATTTCATAAAAGCTGCAGTTACAGAAATAGATTTATTTACAAATAATAAACAGGATTTAAATTTAAGACTCTCTACCAGTGTCCATCACTGGCATAAAGAGATGTTCCACAAAGTATCATTGTATTCTTAGAAAGATGCTACAGCTAATACAATCTAACCAAGAAATATATACACATGCCTACATGATGGTGTGAATGTAATTTGGTTTCCTCAATATATCCTTTAAGAGAGAGTTTTCTATTAGCTTTGACCCTTTCTTTTTCAAGAACTGTTTATAAGTGAGGTAATTTGGGAAATAAAGGGAAAAATCAAGCATATCCCTGCAGTGAGGTTGTATACGCACTTCATTTTACAGCTGTCAGCAGGGATTCTACACAGAGATATGAGGTAAATTTAGATCTCTATTCTGTAAGCTGAGGGGAAGAAAGAAATGACAGCTATTTTAAAAGGAATTTGAAGAGGGCACCTCAGAGCATATTGTAGTGTGATGAGACTAATTTCCTTCCCTTTGGAGTTTGTTTATAAAGTGTTAGTTTTAATTTTCAGGGAGTCCGGAGTAAAACCACAGGAGAAATTCACATCTGATGTTGAACTTGTGCTTTAAATGACCATATAGCTGCAAGAAGCATGCTGAATTAAAAAGGCAGCTATGACACCATAAATGTAGACTGACCATAACAGACCTGCAACCCTAGTTCTAAGGCACAGGATAAGCCTGCTGCATTTAGAAGGTTAAATTATTTATTTTGAGAACTGTTACACCCTCCATTGCACCCAGAGTGCTCAGTACTGGTAGAGCAGGGCAACTGGAGAGCAGCAGTTTGTATCCAGCCTTTTCCTTTTGGCAATGGAAAGCAGAATAGATCTCCTGAGTAAGGAGGATTGAGGAATAAGACGTATTCCTTAATATGTTGTAGATGAGGAGAGGATCTTGAACAGTTCCTTGAATCTCAGTTGTCCATTTAACAAGCGCAGGCAAAGCTGGCAGTGCTCCCTGTACCCTTGTACACATCTGCACACCTAAACTCAGCGCATGTAAAATGCTTCCCTTCCCTCAGCTACAATTCCCAAATGGAAAATAGTATTTTTCTTTATACCTTTAACCTGCTAACTAATTCATAAATATGTGAGAGATGGGGAGGTGAGGTACTGCAGCTGAAATTTGTGGTTTGGCACTGTAGTGAAGCCAGGAGGGAAAGTCTGGAAGGAGCACCAAATCCTTGACTTCTTGAAATTGGTTGAAGCTTTCCCATTAACTTTAACATGGCAGGCTGCCACTGAGAATAGGGAAAAGATATATGCTTTATAATGTGAAGGCTTGTCAGCATTTACTCACTTGTTTCAGAATTATTAATGTTTTATTCTGTAAATTGCTCATGCTTTACCTGCAAGGCTAACCATAAGTAGCCTTGAGTGATGGTTAGAGCTCATTGTAGTTGAGATCAGCATTGGTACCTGTTAATCTGCAGAGACACTGAAGTTTATGGTCATTCTCTGTGATGACCAAAAAAAGCCACCATGACCTTCCAGGTCTGTCTTGCAGCTATGGCTTTGGCTGTCCATTGAAATACATTAATAATTCTCACTGAACAATACACATGTTGAGTGGACTCATAAGCACAGGGTACATCAAGTAACTCAGCAATTCCTGCTGATGCCGTATGGCTGTTTGGCTCTTCTAGTGGGGTGTGTTCTCCATCAGCATTTCATCTGTCAAAGCATGTTTGTATGTTCAGACACATCACATGCTGTAGTTAGTGCTGCAGAAAAGAAAGGTCGAAACTGTTTTAAGTCATTAAGGTTAGTGGCACAGATGTTTAGTGTGAGGACTCAACCCCTTTTTTCACTGAAACTATTTCAAAAGGTTCTTCATAGCAACATTGCAGGTTCCACATTAGCGGCTTTGTGACTACTGACAGCTGTCAAAATAAAAAGACGTTTTTGCAAAGTAGGAGTGTATGAATTTTTTGAAGGTTGAACTAGAAGTTCTAGACACAGTTGAACTCAGTTTTCTAGGCCTTGTTAAGAATTGTATCTCCTCTAACCCAAATTTGGCTGTTGAAGAATTGTGTGTAACCTATTGTAGTCACCAAAGTGGTCACTGTACTCTTCAGAGAGAACTAGCCAGTACCAGGGATAACTCTTCACACCTGCTTTCAGTACTTAGCAAAGTACTGCCTCCAAGTGTGTGTTCATCTCTTATCTGATGCCTGAAGCAAGATGCTCAGGTTGGAGAAGAAAACCTCCTAGTGTTTATTGTGTAGTAATATAAATCCTGTGCCTGATGGATAATGGAAGTAGGTAGGTTGATAAATTTTGGTATATCCAGGAGACTAACTGCTCTGTTCATCGGTATTAACTGAAAATAAATTGACCTATATATTGATGAGGTTTTGGGTAGTTAGCTTTTTAAAAACCATCACTTGTGTGTGTGAAAGTGCTCAGCAAGCAATTCACAGTATCCCAGAATAGGGCATCCAAAATAAATGGTTCACTTGCACTCTAAAGGTGCTTATTTCTTCTCCCTATTTGTCTATAAAGGGTGCCTACAGCAATGGTGTCAGGCTTAGACAGGAGATTTTAAATGACACAGTCTTAAAAGTTCCTAGGAAATACAGAGGCGTGCAGGATGCATCCTGCACTGCACGAGCAAAACCAAAAGGTTGGCTGCTAATGCAACACACCCAACAGTACCTGTGGTTCTCAGTGCTGAGCATGGGAATAACAGAGACTCATCTCAAAGCTTGCAGTCAAAAATTAGCTCTTGTTAATAATTCAGCATTATTTTAGCTTGCTGTGTATATGAGTGTTGGTTCTTAGTGTCTTCTTTTACTTTTGGTCTTTCAAGTCTGCTTCAATGTTTTGCTGTTTTGCTTTTTGCATTTCTTTGTAGCTGCCATTACTGTAAGTTTTGGAGGCAGTTAGCAATGCATCAAACCCAGTTATAATACAGGTACTGTACACAGAAGCTGTGTTCCTAAATTTCATGGAATGTTTTAAAAATATTTTGCATTGGCTTCTCATCTGTTATCTCCACCTGAGAGCATCTAATTTATAAAACAAAGAGGTGATGGAGAGTTGATATTGTTGCTTCCTAGGCAAGTTCCTTAGTAGCAGAAATCCCCACATAAGCCAGCAGCCTTTCTCCTGAGCAATTGAATCTTTCTAATAAAAAGAGTAATACCTCTTCATGAATATATAAGTCAAAGTAATAATGAACATCCATTAAACTGAGCTGTTTAATCAAATAATTAGTGAGGAATTAAAGCATCACCCCAACATAATTTTAAAATAAAAATCCGGTTTTTGGGGTCTTTTTGTTTTGGTTTGGTTTGGGGTTTTTTTGTTGGTTTTTTTTTGGTGTTTTTTTTTTTGTTTTTTTTTTTTTTGTTGTTGAGGAAAAGCTATATATTATATACATTTGAAGTTGATCTGAGAGTGTTTACAATCCATTTTGTGAATATTTTTTTCAAGAAATTTGAGAGTAAAACTGGATATTTTAATTATAGATGTTGCTAAGAATACCAGTGGAGCTCATGGGATCTCCTACTCATTGCAGGGGTGATAATTCTGCATGCAAAAAAGGTGTATTGCTGTTGGGATGCTAACTTTTAAATTCATATTTTGTATGAATTTCATAAACCACATAAAAATTCTGAAAAATTTGTGCAGTGGCAATGTGAAAAACATTTTAAATTACTACATATTCTCCTTGTGTATACAGCCAAGAGGGATTCTGTATTTCAAAATATGTAATAGAATAGAACTATTAACTTACAACATTTATTATGTTCTCCAGCCTCACTTAAAAAATTTTAGCCTCTCTAGAGTGAAAATAAAACATTGATAACTAATCTATAAACAGTGTTAGGTTATGCAGTACCTTATTATTTCAGGTCATGGCTAAAATTTCAGTAAGTGTTCTCTGGGGCTTTGGTTAGAAAATTCCCAAATTTAGACTAGAAGCTCATGAGGGAGTTGGAAAGTTTGTGAAAAAAAAAAGATGAATGGTGGTGTTTGTGAAGAGGGGAGCAGTAAAGCTTTATTTAGGTGTTTATGAAATGTGATTTTACATGTCTAGAAAGACAAGTATTGCATTTCACTGGTCCTTCAGAAACAAGCTAAAAGGATTTGAAGGTCTTTGAGCTCTAGGGGTCATCACAGACCTGAACTCTATATGGCAACATATATATGATGCTTTCAGAATAACAAGTTTTGACCTTCAATTCCAAAAACTTGTTACCCTTAATGAACGGAGCACAACATACAACTTGGAACTTTTATTCTGGAATTTGAATATGCAAAGATGCATTTATAGGACTTTTGGTTATTTGGGGTTTTTTTTATTATTATTTAGTTTCATAGGACTTTGAGGAAACTAGACAGAGCTGTTAAGATGTGAATAACATGAAATGGCATAAAATTGAAATTTCATCAATTTTTATATGCTATGCTCTGATATTTTTTCCTTTAATGTTGTCACATTAGACTCTCCATCTCACAGTGCTGCTTTGGCATTACAGTGTACCTCTTGTCTGTCCTACCTAAAATTTATTGCTCATTTGGTTCATATCCTCATTCTTTGCTTCCAGCAGATAATAAAAGCCATTTTCCAACACTGGTATTTTGCCCATGATTTAGATTTCCAGTCTGCATTGTCAGAGAAGAAGTTGTGTATATGTAGCTGGAAGAGAATAAGAATCACCTCCTCATCTAGTCTTACAAACAAATAAAAATGTCCTACATTGCCTCCTTCAGGGTACTTTCTTTGATTTTTAACTTTGCGTGTATTTTGTCTTGCTTGTATTCAATTTGTGAATTAATGAGAAGTTAAAATACTTTTGTTGCAAAATAATTTCTTAAATGACAGAAATATTGAGCAAGATTAAGATGTTTTAATCTTTCTCCTGTCTGTATGAGTAAATAAATAGACCTGCCACTAGAGATCTAAAGCCGATGACACAGGAGACAGAAGAGAATATGTTACATTATATATCGTGGGTGTACTGGAGCTCCAAAGAGTTTCTACACTTTACAGACTATAGTGATGGAGATTAAAGTGAGGTAGTCGATAGTCAATAGAACCACAGAGACTTCTAGAAATTACTAACCCAGATATTTTATTTTAATTGGTCTTAATTTTTTTAAGTCCAGTGGAAAATTGGCATGCCATGAAATAAAGGTTCACATATGTCTAGTAATTATTCTAAAGAGCAAACTCAGAACGGGAAAAGTTCTGTAGAGCAGAAGCTCTCATTCCGGCACAGCTGCACAGACACGGCGGGGCTAGAAGTAGGACTGCCAGGAGAGACATAAAGGCAGTAAACATCTGCAGAGGGGTTTGTTCCTGGATCTTTTTGCTGGATTGAGTTCACTGTGCTGCATCCTGCTTCTATTACCTTACAGTCTCAAGAATGCTGTTTAGCAACATTAGCATCTTGAATAAGCATGTGGGCTTTTCTTAATGGCATGATGAGAATATTACCCCAGAATAGCCCTTTTCTTACATCCAGTAGGGCTTGCTTGCAAGAATAATCTGATTACTTCAGCAATAGAACCAAGACATCTAGGTTCTGTACCTCAGTGTGCAATATGGGACCATGTCTTTTTTCCTTACTAGTTTAGTTTGAGTATAAATCATAATGATTGTTATTGTTTTGATTTTCATGACTTTCCATAAGTATTGCTGGCAAAGATAAATGTTTTGCTTGGGTTATACATTGAAATATGTGATATTTAAGAGCAGTATTGATCTATAAATATCCTAAATGCATAAGCCTATTGATTAAGCAATTCTTTATTCCTGTGTCTGCATAAATCAACTTTAAGCAGCATGGTTAATGCATTTCCAGAGAATGTCAGGCTTTATTTTGGGTTCATTTACAAAGATCTAAGAGTTAAAGGCAGTGAGTAACAGAAATTTTGCTGCATGCTTTTAGGTATGCTAAAGAATTTTAGGATCAGAGTATGTCTGATTGTTTTCTTTCTCTTGTTTTCTAATTGTGTTTTCTGTGGCTTTGTTTTTCTTTTACATGCTGTGCAGAATGGGTTGCTTGTGTGAGGTCCAATTTCCTGGTTTTGTGCTACTTGCATGATGTGAAGAATATCCTGCAGCTTCATGACCTAGCCACCGGTGCACATCTCAAGACTTTTCCCCTAGAAGTTGGTAGTATTGTGGGATATAGTGGCCAAAAGAAGGACACTGAAATATTCTACCAGTTTACTTCCTTTTTATCTCCAGGTAAGATTTTTTTGTCTCATATTATTGTTCCTTTTCCTGAGAACAATGTCCTTCTCTTTTTTTTTTAAGTTAGTTATTTGGTATATTGGTATAAAACTGCTTCCACCCATGTTAGCAGTGATTGTGCACATAAAAATGTATCCTTTGATCCATCAAGCCTAAATAGTGTGCCTGCTAGTATTTGAGACACCTGCATTAAGCTCAATACTGACTTGTACTGGAGATAAAATTGTAGCATTCTCACAGTTCATACAGCAAGATAGAAGGTGAAAACCCCAGTAAAAGATAATTGTTAATGTGTTTAATGTGATTTTTAATTAAAATTTAAAGAACATTAATAAAAGTCGCAGAAATTGTTCTCTGAAAGTTTTATGATTTGTTTATGCATAGCCTTATTTGAACATCCTTACTATCTGTCCTTACAGTACTCGGTGTTGTTGAATTGTTATAGGAATATTCTTTGTACAGTCCTGCAGGGCTAGAGCTGTCCAAAACATTACATAATACAGGTGTGGCAAAAAAGTAAATATTCTAGGATTTTGCATAGGAAGGGAGTTTCTACACAGTTGTCAATCTAGTATATGACAAGAAAATGTATTTACTGTGCACTCTTTTTTTTTTCTTTCTGTATGGCCCAAACAATCAATATCTAATACAACACAGGATTCAAATATGAAGGGGCAGATAGGTTTCAGCATCTTTATCTTCTCCCAAGGTTTTGTATCATAAGAGGATAAAAATGTAATTATAACATCTGACCTATGTTTTTGCTTGTTTCAGTTAGAGCCCAGTAACATTACATTGCAAAAGGGCTGTAAAATACTTTAGATAAGTTTGCTGGTTTTGCTAGAAAGGATCATGTGAATTTATCAAAATTAGGTTTCAGTGTTACCAGATAAGAAGTGTGATGAATTGCCTATTGTCTTACTGTTTGCATAAAGAGAAATATTATATATTTTCAGTTCCTCTTTTAAACACCATTCAGATTGCTGCAGCTATTGCAGCTGGAGAGTGGCTTGAGGACACTCTTGCATTTATCTCTCACTTCATCCAGCCTTATGGTTCATAGTTGAGTTGACCACATTGTGGGCCAGAAGTTGCCAGTTTTGCAGTCCTGCACCGTTCATCTCAGCTGAGCCAGTAGAGTCTCTGTAGCTGCTAAAAATGTGTATAGGAAGAGCCCAGATCTATTTTAGCCTGTGACTTTCCAGCTGGCCAGCAATAGCTGCTCTCACTGCCTGCTAGTTGCTCAGGCAGATTATTTTCCTCCTTTTCATTAATTTCCTTAGCATCTACAAAGAATTCACTATGGCATAGCTCTGTTAACTGGGGCAGAGTGACCTGGAATCTGGAAGAAAAAGGGGAGGTAAGATATGTAGGTAGACTGAATGAGGATAAGGAAAGAATAGGAAAGCAGAGCAGAGAGGTAGTTTGAAGGTAGGTTTTAGTTTGTGTGCAACCTCCATTCACCTCATCAGAGGAATAATCAAACAAAAGGTATGGGGCTGATCCTTGGTTAACCTAAATATTCATACTTTACTATTGGAAATCAATATAATTTGCACCTGTATTAGCTTGAACGATTCTTTTTTTTTCTAATAAGAAACAAATTAACATAGTCGTGTTTAATACCTACAACAAAAGTAATAATAACGATATATATACAAAGTAATGAATAAAGCAGTTCTAAACCCATGTATGATGAGACCATAAAATAATTGCTGGTATTCCTTGAAAAATATGGTTATTCCTGCTGTTCACTCTGGTCAGATGCTTAGGTGACCACTCTGGTGTTTTACATTGATTTAGTACCTGTCAAAACAGTTAAAAATATTACAATGGCTTTTTATATTAACTGCTGTGACACTAAAAATACAACAGAACAAGAGATGCAGTAGCAGGGGTTGAATTGCATATTAGTGTAACATTAGGTTGATTTGCTCTGGAAATGCAGTTTGTGACTGTGCTTATTCTTTATGCTGTGGTTTGCTAAGATGTGGCAATTCTGCCTGCTCTGTGTGCAGTGTTTGCCAGTACATTGCCCAGCTCGGGCAGCTGCCTGTGTGTCAGCTGCTTTGCTGTTGTTGCCTGGTGGGCTTTACACTGCACTTCCACATCATTTTCTGGATCCTGATTTTTAAGGGAAGTGGTGCCTTAATGCTGGTTTGCACTTATCAACCTGATTAGGCTTACTAGTCTTTTTGTGATAAATAAAAAAAATCTCAGCAGACTAGAGTAGTCCTACTTTTAGTCCCCTGTTAACTCACTGTTTTGGAAAAAGGCTTTATCAGTTGCTCAAGGTTTACATCTGCATTTGTTTACCAATCTCTATCTTCCTGATTTTCCAGTCTATAAAACTAATCTAAAGAGGCAATGCCCTCATATCAGATAAGTTTCCTCATTATTTCATGTTTTAGTCTGTATGATTTTTTTGGTTATAACCTCTGTAGTAATTCCTTCTATTTCCTGAAGGAATACAGTAGGATTTCAATCAAGTCCTGTCCACCTTGATTAATTTTATTACATTGAGGATCCCAGTAGAGTGCTTACTGCCATACCTTTTAGTGTTCTTTTCCCTAATATATGTTCCAAATTTTGCAGGGACCAGCTTGTTGTAAAGGAGGAAACCAAAGAATAATTAACACTCAAGTTAGTTTATGTATCCTATGTATCTGTAGTGCAGGCATAAATATTAAGATTTTTTAGTATGTTAGCCAGTGTGCAAACACGATAGTCACATTGTATGACACATACTCAAATGTTATTAGGGTTGAATGACAGGAAATACATTTTATAGTTTAAATGCAAATTTATTCTTAGCTGTTTACACATCTGTGTAGTGTCTAGATATCTGCATTCCCTGTGATTCAGCCTCTGCTGCAACCTAGAAGTTCTGTACTTATAGACATAAGTTTCTGTACTTATAGACATATGTATTTCCTCATGGGCAAAATTCTTTGGAAATCATAGGTACAACTCAAGTGCAGTTGTCTTCAAACCTGCAGGATCAAGATGTAAAAGAAGCTACTCAAGACCAGATTTTGCTAAGTTCCATAGCTGTGCTACTCTGCCACAATTTCAAGTGGATGTTTAGGTCTTTCATTATCTAGGCCATTTGAATTTTAATTTCAAATATTTTATCATAAGGAGAAAATTGTTGACCTGTGTGAAATTCTTGATATATTTCTTTTCAGTCTGATGGATGTAAAAGGGAGTGTTTTAAATTTGACTTTACATTTCTTTCCTCTAACATTATTGTTCTCAATAAGTCCTTTCTAACTTTATGTGAATGTTTTTTTCCTCTATTCTGCTTAAGTCTCCTGGCTTTGTGTGAGTGGTGAGAATTACTCTTTCTGCACAAAAGCCTTTGCACCCTTCCTAGATGAAACGCATATATGTAAGTGTTAAATTGTATAATAAATGAAAAAATGTGTCCAGAACTACTGATTTTCACCCTGCTGAGTTACCTTTCCCATTCATGACTTCATCACAGTGCCTAAACTGGCATCTTTTTAGTGATGGATATATACTAAGCTGACAAACTTGCATTGTATTCTGTATTTTAGGTATTATATATCACTGTGATCTGACCAAAGAGGAACTGGAGCCTACAGTTTTCCGAGAAGTGACTGTTAAAGGATTTGATCCTTCGGTTTACCAGACAATTCAGGTAATGAGCATGAGCCCTGCTGTCTTGCTCTAATCACCTATGCAAGAGCTCAAGACAACCGGACTTAGCTATTGGTGAGGAGGCTTGCTTTAGAATTATGCTTTGATTTTGAGCTGAATACTGTTGCAGGTGCTCTAAAGGCTCAGATAAGTGTCTCAGTGTAGTAGCATGGGGACTCCTTTGGAGATGCTTATTACACATAGTGAAGGTGTATAAGAATTAGCTAAATTAAAGGTTTATAAAGTTAAGAGAAATTACTTCAGTGGAAAACAGTGTAAGCTACAGCTTATATGGAACAGGTTCAGGAGAATAAAGGGTTCTTCACAGACAATTACTTTGACCTCATAACAGGTATTGTTACTAAAAAGATTATACAAAATATACATTTCCACTAAACACAGCTTTGGTAAGACCCTGATAAACTACTATGCCCTGGGCAGGACTTTTAAGACAGGTATGGAACTTGTAGAGAGTTCATGGAAATTTGTTGAAATCGTAAAATCATTCAGTTTGAAAAAGACCTTTTAATAGCAAATCCAACTGTAAACCTAATATTGCCAAGTTCATCACTAAATGTGTCACTAAGTGCCCATCTGTTTGTCTTTTAAAAACATCCAGGGATGGTGACTCAACTGAAATCATTAGGGGTCTAGAAAAACAGTAATTATATTGAGATGTTTAGCATATTTAAGACCTACAATTTATAGAATAAATATTGGAGGGTGGATTCATTTTCTCATATGTAGGATGTTTTTATCTTCTAAGAGTAAGAATGGAATAGAGGCTTTTTCTTTCTATAGACAAAGGCATCACAAAACCTAGTGCCAAAAGTGGAATTTAAATAAAGTTAGCCTGCAAAAAGGTGAAATTATGTAGAAAGTAAGCAACATAAAGCCATGTGACAGCATGGCTTGGAGTCTTCGAAAAGAGATTAGATACTTCTTTTAATATCTTATTTTTAATTTTGCCTCTAACACATGCACAAGGCACATTGTCTAAAAGCGTAAAGACAGTAGTATGTGTACATGAGGTGGTTGTAAACAGCCCCATCTGTTTGTCTCTGCATCTCCAGACAGAAAAAAGAGTGTGAGAGAGAATAATTTCCTGGAAATGTTCTCACAGAGAATGCATTTTTGCTGCTTCACTCATATTCATTAAGGGACTTCCTCAGGATACCTTTAGGGTAGAGTGAGCTAGATAAGAAAAAGAAAACTGCATTCTCTTTAGGAAAGAGCTTGGTACAATTGTAATGCTGCCATCAAACCCAGAAGGATAATAATGAAACACAAATACCCATATAATTAAAAAGGGTATAGACAAGGTTGCTGTAGATTAGAAATAATGTATTTTTCTAGTAAAACAAATTTTATAAAATAAATGTCTGGAAAAATAAAATCTTGTTTTACACTTAAATCAATTATATGCTAAACTAATGTAAAGTAGAACAGCAATACAAATAATTTCAAGGAGAAAGCATGCTGTTGCTATGCCCTTGGAAACCTTCACTTTGTAAACCACTGACAGAGATTCACTGCTAGGCTGTAATGTGGTGGAAGTCAGTATCAGTGTTTCTGGTTTTCTCCTTACTCAGCTTCTGCTCAGTTCCAGCTCTAGGGAAAAGTGACCTGTGTAAATATGCTGGGATTAGTGTTTATAAAGAGCACTCTTGGCTCACCAGTCATCCAGTTTTGCTTTATACCAACAAATGATCTCAGTATGGTAACCTCTTGGAAATTAGTTTTTGATGTCTTTCATTCAGATCCATGGAAAAATCTCAGCTGAGCTGTGAAAAAGGCAGTTTGTCAAGGACAGGGCTGCGACTGCCTGCTCAAGTTTGTAGTAACTGAGCCTGTCAGTACTGCACAGGTCAGATGAACTCGTCTTTGTTTCCATTTGTGTGGTCCCACTTAGAGCCTTGAAAGTGCTTCTGCTTGGAGGAGGGAAAGGGAATGGAAGGGTATCAAAGCAAGGTATCAAAGGCTGTCAACCTAAATGAATACATAGCCATTTCAAAACACAGCCAACATTGCAGGGAATTGTGAAAAAAAATTAAAATAAGAATGCAAGAAATATACTGAAAGTAGGCAAACCCTGATTATTATAGGGGAATGAACAAAGCTGGAGAATCTATTTAATAATTTTAATTTCCATGAGAATTACTAAGTAATAAAGGATAATGTTGCTGACTGTCCTAATCCATGTCCTTAATGAAAGTCAGGTCTTGTGCCAAGGTTCTTTCTTTGGTCTCATATACCTGAAGAAATACCTGCTAATACTAGCAATCTTCCCAGCTTTGCTGTGTAGCATATATGAAACTGTATTGAGTTGTTCTTCAGCAGTCTTTGAATATAACGGGGTCAAGATCTGAACAGAAATGTAAGCAGTCTTGTGTATATGAAACCTGAATTAATGGCAATTGGAAAATTGCCACAGTACCTCTTTTTGGTCTTTCAAATCCAATCTACAGTATTTGGCATATGTTGTAAAGTGCAAGGGTAGAGTAGTGATAAAGTTTACTACACTAAGAAAATTTGTAGTAGAACTGATGCTTTTTTTGTACCTCGGGTTAAGATCTTACATTTTGACAGCCCAAACTAAGAACAAATTAGACAACTTGCACTGAAGGGAGAGCTGTTTCAACACATGTGACTTTTACACCAGTGTGGGAGCATATTTGTAAGTTACTGGCTCCATGTGACACCCTGCAAGTGCAGTCTAATTTATTGTGCTGTAGCTTGTACTTATGCCCTTATCTTGAGAGACTCTGTGACCTTCATGAAAAAGTCAAACTGTTTTAAATGGTTGTCACACATCAAAAATTTTTCCTGGCTGCTTTTGTTAAATAATACGTTAAGTTGCTTTCATTACTCTTTCTCTGCCAAGCACTTTTTGAAATTTGGCTTCTTTTCCCCGCGTACTTCCATCTATCACAATGACATACTTTTTCAGGAAATATCCTGGGGTGGGCTTTACAGAAGGGAAAAAACACTTTTACAGGAACTTAAAAACAGCACTTGCCCTAAGATGTTTACTGTGTTAATAACTCAACTGTTGCTTTAAATAAAAGCATTTTTTTTTAAATAATAGTATTTTATCTCTGTAAAGTTGCCAACTATGTTCTTATATGCCTCTCCATGTTAGCACCTCACAGTGATACTTAATAATGGATAAACAGTCTTCTGGTGTGGCTCACAGCACACCTACTTCAAGGTTGATGTGTAGGCTTTTAAGTGTTAAAATTGCAACAATAAAAATGTTGATTGGCTCCTTTTACCATTCTTTGCATACCCTCCAGTACTTAAAATACTTTGCAATGAACCAAAAATAGATGTTGCTATTGACAGATGCACTTTGGATTAGCTCTTGCAAAAGGTGAAATTCATAACACAGCTTGGTTTTACAACTTAGTTTGATTAAAAAAGCAGCTGCTGTTTAAATATTGCAGCACAGATGTAAGAAGCACAGGTCTTAAAAAAGATATTTCTCTTCGGGTTGGGAGGAATTTCCACCTTTCTTTTGCATAAATTACTTTTGCAGGTGAAGTAATTTTCATGAGAATCTTTCACTCCCATCACTAAGTCCTTGCAGTACTGATTTCAAATTATGAGGCATTGATGAGGAAAATTTGTCTACAGTCATTCTCATTCCAAGTGGAACTTTACACCATACAGTTTGGCACAGTGATTAATCTCTGCTTCAGGAAAATACAACACTAAGATGAGTCAGGCTTGAAATTGATTGGCAGAGAAACTTGTGCCCAGCACCTGCCCATGCTATTCCTGGATCTTGCTGTTGCTGGTGGTATCATTCCATGAGCATTAGATTCCCTCATTAATATAAAAATAACAGAGGAAAGCAGTGTCCTCTGAATACTGTAGTAAGCTCAACCTGCTAAGCAATGCAAGAGCTGATATTATAATTATCTCTGATTTTTCAGTGTAGTTACAGAGATGGTCTTAACATAGTTTTCTTCCCCTTACCCACATGTGTATCATAGAATCAAAGAATGGTTTGAGTTGGAACGGATTTCAAAGACCACCTAGTTTCAACCCCACTGCCATGGGGCAGAGACATCTTCTACTAGATGGAAGATTGCTCAGACCGGGTTGCTCAAAGTCCCATCCTGTGGGAGGTGCCCATGGGGAAAGCAGTTTGGGGATGCCCTGGGAAACTGCATTTGTCTAAGATAGGGCATTTTTCCCAGAGCTCACTGCTCCCTCATGCAAATGAGTGTATGTCCATAATTTGTTGTAGTCTCCTCAGTTCTAGAAAGTTCTTTATTCTTGGTTCCCCCATTGGTTCCCTCTAAAAACCATTCCTTCCCTTCTCCCTCATTGGTCCTGTGCATGTCACCCCACCCCTGCTCCTCCCCTGAACCTTTCCCTCATTGGACTGTTTGTACCCTGACCATGCCTATCCTGCCCCAGTTATATACCTGGCCCCTCCTTCCCCAGTTGTTCTCAAAGCCTTCCCCTTCGCGTGGAGTTGTCTCCCTTCTCCTGTTCCTGCTCCTCGGTCCTCAGCCTCTCCTTCAATAGACCCACGTGGATCTTAACAGCTCGAGAGTCCTCTCATCTTTGGTGGAGTTCCATTACTCTATCTGGGCACCTGTCAGCTAGCCAGCAGCGGGTCAGCCTGCCGGACTTGGTCCAGGGCAGCTCGCACCATCCTTCTGGACCTTGAACACTTCCAATGACCATGCATCCACATCTTCTCTGGGCAACCTGTTCCAGTGTCTCACTACCCTCACAGTAAAGAATTCATTCATAATCTCTCATCCAGACCTTCCCTCCTGCTGTCAAAACCAATTTCCTTTCTTTTCTATTGCAATAAGCCCTTGTAAAAAGTTCTTCTCCAGTTCTTTTATAGACCTCTCTTAGATATTGGAAAACAACAATTAGGCTGCCCCAGAGCCTTCTCCAGGCTGAACAACCCCAACTTTGTCAGCCTGTCTTCATAGGAGGGGTGCTCCAGCTCTCTGATCGTCTTCATGTGTCCCC